GAATATAAGAATTTATAATTATCAAACGATCGTTTTAAAAAGCGATTTGAATATGCTCATTTTAAAAACTAAAATATATATGTTGGAATATGAATTAAGAATGTTTTTTTCTCAAAACTAAAATAAATATTGTAGGTGACTTTGTTAATTTAGGAATCAGCAATAATAACGACAGGCTTAAAATCGCACAAAGAATTGCTCTTTCCAACAAGTGCTGGTTTGGACTGAGAAGGCAATCGAGAAGCAAGATCATCTATCGTCGTACAAAAATCAGTCAGTAAGTCAGTCCTAACGCCCATTCTGGTTGCGGCGCAGAAGTATGGGCTATAAGACTCTAGCATGATGTGGAGCTTGGGGTTTTCGAGAGGCAGATTATAACGTCTATGCTAACAGAGAAAGAGAATGACTTAGCTTCAATTGGCATTTCCAATTAGCGTAATTTGGCACAGAATTGAAATTAATGGCGTGTTTTGTTGGACTCGGCCAAAATCGCTTAGGCGGTTACAGCGCCAATCAAGAAAAAGAAAGGAACTAAACACTCTTTTTGAATTTTTTTTTTCTAATTCGCACTTTTACCTTCTAGCAGTTTACGCTCGACATAATATATTTATCACCGCGGAGAACGTCGCCAACACACTGTACAGTACACACTTATAAAAAGCTCTTCACAAGCTTTATCCAATATTATTACCAGTAAAATGTTTAGTGTGCAGATTTTCTGTAATTAAAAAGCTTCAACAAGCTTATAAACTTACGCGTTTTTGACAAAACAAACTGTTTCGACTAAGCGATTTGTTACTTTGTAAAAGGCGTACAAAGCATTTCCAAAAAAAGCTCAATATCTTAAGATAAGACATAACTAACCAGCAACCAGTCACAGTGATACTATTGCAATGCGGACACCTCGTTCTTACTGGATACGGTCCTAATTTACTCATAATCGAAGCTATTCCTAGATAAAAAAAACAGAGTTTTTTGCTCTATTTAACAATTTGTTTTTTATTTAATTCACTTTTAATTTCTCTTTTGTACACCAAACTTGACTGTTCATCATGAATGCTTGGAATTTTGAAAACTTTTCCTCGGTGTTGTGTAGTTGGGTTCATGATGTTTTTATCATGGTTGGGTTTACAATATGCCAGTAGCAGGCCTGCACAGTTAACCGGCCCAGATACTGGGAATGTAAACCGGCACTGGCAGGGGCCAATTTTCTTTTTATGAAATAGTGAAGTCATCATGAAAAATTTAGTTTGTTCCCTTATCATTTCATTATATAATTTTAAGCGATTCTCCACAATTAAAAGCCATTCCCTGTTAGCAGATAATTATTTGGAAAATTATTCTGAGTAGATATAAGTCTTAAAGTATGTTTACATATAAATATAATCTCAGTCAAAGCTCGTGTTTAATAACCCCCTTTACACAGGTAAATCTCATATTATTAGACGTCAGATTTGTTGTCTGTGTATTCTCACAGCTCAAGGAAAAGTTATGTTTCTTCTTTGTGCAATTTAAATATATTTTAACTTAATGAAATAAAATTACCTTTACAAACCTCTTTTCACTGCGAGCGTCCATGTTTGTTTACTTTTACATTTGGAATTTCTCTCCTTCTTCACAAAAATCATCGATAAAACTATGTTAGACTCCGAAAAGTTATCGGTTTAAGCTGAGATTATCTTATCATCACAGATTACCAAGGGACGAATTTTGTGTGACTAATCTCTTTTTCTAATTACAGGTTAGGAGGTTAAGCTCGAAAATGAAATGCAGTAATACCCGCTTAACTATCTCACGAAAATTGCCAGCTTTTTGAGGTACTTAGGCCGGTTGGGTACTTAAGAGAACCCGCTTAAGTACCTCGATGCGGGTACTTAAGCGAATATAATTATTTGTTGTAGTTACAACGTCTTGTTAACTTACATAAATAAATCCTTGAATAAAACATCACTATTTAATGAAGTATACGTACATACTTACAGTTTGGACCAGATTCTAAATGATACTGTTTTCCGCTTATGTTTATTAATTTTTAAGATTTGTCAATTAAAATACACTTCATTCCCTAAAAAATACCATATAAACTTAAGCTTAAAATTTTGTAGAACTTCATCAAATTTTCATCAAACTTTCATTTCAAACTTTCTTCCTAGAAGTGACCCAATTCAATTTTAGTGTAACAAGTTCCAAGTGGCAAAAAATTGTCCTTGATTTTTTTAATTTTTTTTGCCGAAGGTGCTGCGATTTTTTCACATAAAAAAATTGTGTTTATTCGTTATATGGAAGCAAATGCGACAAAAAAAAATCTAAAAAATCCACGGTAATTTTTAGCCACTTGAAACATGCATGTTGTTACGGGTAAACTGACGGTAGCAACTAATATCGATTGTGCAGCGCTGCCCCTTATGTTTTTAAAGAGTACTTAAAAGGGGAAAATTATAAGTAAAATGGTAAGTGGGGTACGAAAAACTTAGGTACTTAGGCGGTTGGGTAAATAAGAGGGGAGGTACTTACGAGAGGGACTTTTTTCAGGTTACATGAAACAATTCACGGCGCCCAACAATGTTGTTTACTTAAGCGGGATTCACTGTATACTATATACCAGAGATATAACAAACGAGACGAATTACCAAATGAAATGTGAAATCTCATAACAGCACTTGGATTATTTTTCGGCTGGTAGTAGTAATAGGGTACAAAATCCATTTCATGCTTCACATTGAAAGTTAAAGTATGTAAGTACATACATACATATGTATACTATCTAGTAAAAGTTTTTATTCATATTTAAATTTCAGTGCCTTTGATTTTTATTGATTTGATTTGGGGTTCCATAAAATTAAAGGTATCTGGTTATGAGGCCTTATGAATAAAAAATAAGCAATTGCCTTTTCTGAAAATTTAAAAAAGTTGTTGAACAAATCGAGTAAAAGGTCTAAAGTTTTAATAAAAGGCAATTGCTTATTTCTTATTCATAAGGCCCTTTGTGTGTACCATTATCTTAAAAGTTTGCGAACCCCTGCGATAGGGTATGCGTTAGGATGATTGACTCGTTTTTATACCCGAGCGCACTTGTGCACAAGGGTATATTAATTTTGTTCACATAACGGTTGTTTGTAACAGCCAAAACGAATCGAGATAGATATAGACAAATGTATACATAAATGATCAGGATGAAAAAAGAAATCGATTAAGCTATGTCTGTCTGTTCGTCCGTCTGTCCGTCTGTCCGTCTGCCCGTGTACACGATAACTCGAGCAAAATTTGAGATATCCCAACGAAATTTGGTATGTAGGTTTCCCTTAACCCAAGGTAGGTTGGTATTGAAAATGGGCGACCTTTAACCACGCCCACTTCCCATATAACGGTAATTTCCAGAAATACGAAAACTGCGATATTTTAGTAACTAATGAAGATAATTCACTCAAAATTGATATTTATAATAAGTTTTAGACGACAAATAAGAATATTATAAATTTTTGGAAAATGGGCGTAGCCACGCCCACTTATGGTTACATGTGTATACCTTGGTAACCGCTGCACCAATTTGTTCCAAACCTGGCACAGTTGTTGGCCTTGGTACAGCATAAAAAATCGCCGAAACTTTTTAAAATCGGACAATAACCACGCCCACATCCCATATAACGGTAATTTAGAGAAATACAAAATCTTCGATAAATCAGTAAATATTGAAGCTAATTTATTCAAAATTGATGCTTGCAACAATTCTTTACCAAGAAATACGTTTATGGTAAAATTTTGGAAAATGGGCGTGGCACCGCCCACTTATGATCACATATAAGTATATCGGTAACCGTTCCGCCAATTTGTACCAAACTCGGTGTGGTTATTGTGCTTGCCACATATAAGCAAAACTTTGAAAATTATTGAAATCGGACTAAAATAACGGCCGCTTCTCATGTAACGGTAAATTTCAGAAATGCTTGAAACTTCAATATTTCGAAATTGAAGGACGCTAATTTACTCAAAATTGATACACCCCGGCTTACCATCTAGCGGAAGGTTTCGGAAAGGTGAAAAAACATTTATTTAATACTTGCGCCGGGTATTTAATGTTCGGCTCCGCCCGAACTTAGACTTTCTTACTTGTTTCGAAACCGGTTTCCATAGGTTTTTTCATCGAATATCTATAGGTAATTTTTTAAAATTTTGATTGTCCGATTTGATAAATAAACCGGATTTTTTGTTATCGGACAAACCGGTTCTATTTTGTTTCATAAAAATCGTAACCTCTCAATAAAAATTTTAAATTTTTCGAGGCTTTCAAGGCCTTTTCCAGTTTAAGGAAAACCACTAAATACCAATTTTAGAATTATATCCTAAGTTATTTGGGGCTGCACAGTTTATCATAAAAATTTGGCGCTTAAACGTTTACTACATGTTTGGCCGAGGCTCTCCTCTACTTCGTGCTCTGCTTATTCATGTTGTGACACTTATGGGGAGATCTACACTTTTCCTCCTCCGAAGTGTCCCGAGTGGCAGTAGGCACATTTAAGCACTCGGCTACGGCGGCAAGAGCCTTACTAAAATCCGAAAAAAGTCACCTAAAATGCAATAATTTAATGATAATATAAGACCATATGTAAAATTTTCACTCATTTGTATGTGTTTAACGTTTGATCTAAAAGAACTTTGAATTTATTTTGATTTCTTCTTTTCTAAATAAAAGCTATCTTTACTCCTGGCCAAGACTTCATACCAACAAACACATTTCCCCTATAAAATAAAACGGGTTTATCAGGTTATTTTCCTAATTAAAAAATATGGAACCGGTTTTTTCAAACTGCTCTTCTTCGAATAACTCCAAAACCGGTTTTTGAAAAACCGAACAATCCAACAGCCTAGTATACATTCAATACCAATATATTAATTTCTTTTCACTCACTTTTCTTTGCCCCACTTTGAGAGAATAAAATTATCGCTCAGTTTTATTGGCAAGTTTCGGTTAATCTCCGCGCAGACAGTTGGTCTTACTCTTTCAAGCTACTAAGACTACAGCTGAAAATTGTTATCGGATTAATTTAAGATTTTACGTAGCAACGTAAACAAAATAATAATAAAAAGGTAAAAAAATTAAGCCAACCAATCATTGCTTTTCAACGTCTCAAAAGTGCAGTGCAAAATATTTTACTAAGCAAGAAGTTTCGAACGTTACAAAATGCAATCACAAATTGAAATGGTTGAAATAAATTTGAATACACCAACGACACCAAGCACACCAAGCTCACCAGAGCAGCGTTTCGAGCAGGCCACCGATGCCATTTTGAATTATGTTCTCGGTGACACTGTGCGGGAGCGCGATGATGAGCTGGGGACAAGCGTGGTGGAGGAATCGTTGACTCGACGCAACCAAACGCGCACCGCTTGGGCCCCGCCGTCTGTGGATGATAAGAAGCCCCACCTGCGTTTTTTCGCTGTCGGCCCAAGCACCTATCAGATACGCTGCCCGCTATGCAAGCAACGCGCCGACACTGAGACAGTGCAAATGAGCGGGATTCTGGGGCATCTCAGCTGCCTGCTATCAACGTTATCCTGGTGCGTATAAGTGATTTTAATGTCAATGGGAAGAGCTTAGACAAAATATATATGCATAAATTAAATATATATATTTTATGAACTCATTCCACAGCTGCTTCCCCATTTTCTCCCTGTCCTTTGTGTATGTCTGCCTGCAGAGTCGTTTGAAGAGTAAACGCATGTTTTGCAATAGATGCGGCGGACATCTGGGTTTCTTCTGGCGGCCAACTTGAAATAATGTTTTATTACACATATTAAGATATTCATACGTATGTAGATATGTATGTGTAGAAAATAAGATATAATTGCTCAAATGATATTTTGACTGACATACATATTCAGTCCTAAATAGTATATATGTATGTGCATATGTATTTTGTAAATAAATTAACGTTTAAGTTAAACTATGAAATAACAAATGTTTAGTAATTAAAAAAAGAAGTTTTTTTCATTTATTTTCCCTTAAAAATACATATATTAATTTGAAACAAGTTCAATTTGTTTGTTGCCGATTTTCGTTTTTACATTTCTCTTGCTTTTCTGCTGAGCAGCATTTTTTAGGAAACTCATCTGTTCGCGAATTCTAGATACATTCGTATGTACATAAATACGTTTATAAGTGATCGCATTGTCACGGGTCTATTTTTAGCTGGTAATGAGTCTACAGAAGGCGAAGTGAATAAGAAGAAGGAGGAAGAAAACAAAATTTATGAAATCAGCTGTTGCTGCTGCCGGCACACTATGGGACTACAGCGGCTAAAAGTAGTAAAAACGGATTGGCGAATTCTGAAAAAGTAGTTACGCAGATGCATAGCTATATGTAGTTATATCCAGCTAACCCAAGCCAAAAAGAACTTTCGATAAAAATGCATATTTGCAATCAAGAATTTTTTAATATATCTGTGGTCAAACATTGCTTTACATTTTTTTAAATCTTTTGAATTGTATAAAACAGTTTACCTTGAAATTCTACATAATTTTGTGAGTGTAAAATTTTTCGAGTGCTTACTTTAAAAAGGGATATTTGAAAAGGACCTAGGATGCAAGCTAAATTATACTTAGGACAAGTAAACATTAAATTCTCAAATAGTTAGTTAGGAGATGAGCGACGTAATGAGAAATTCTTTATTATCTTCCAAGTTGGAAAATTTTGGCTTAAACGAGCACGGCACACCGAATTTCATCAAAAAATACTTTTTTTTTCAATTTGTGCATGTTTTTCTAGAATTACTGGACGATAATGTAAACCGATTTTATGAGAAGCTATTTTTCATGGCAGAAATACACTCGGAGGTTTGCCATTGCCTGCCGAGGGACGACCGCTGTTAAGAAAAAACCTTTTTTCTATATTTCTTTTCGATGTAGCTTTGACCAGGGCTTGAACCCAGGCGTTGCGGAGTGGAAGCGCGCACTACTTACCATTACCAGCTGCCGACAAAATCGGATAACATTTACTATTTCCGCCTAAAAGAGCTGTGGGCGTGGTAGCGCGTTGAACTAGGGTTGTTCGACTAGAAAGTCGACTTTTCTACCGACTTTAAAAGTCGACCGATCCACGAAGAAAAGTCGACTTTGTTCGACTTTTTTAATAAAAAGAAAATGTATTAAGTATACTCTGCATTTAACTCATATATTAGCTTTAAATATAGGAGTCAGAATACGCCAAAAATATTATGATTTACCAGTGGTCTTTAGAATAATCTGTAATTTATTTCTGAAAATTTTTGAAAAAAATTTTAAATTCTCACAAAAAAAATTCTAAAAATTTTTTTAATCGATATTTGGTAATTACGGACAACTTTTTGAAAAATGTGGCCTTTCCGATGGAGCAGAATTGGCGGGTATTGGTAGAAATATAAATGCCACTTTATAAGCATGGATAAATTTGGGAGTAGCCCAGACAGCTAGTGGATTGGGACTGTCCACACGACTAATGTCTAGGGCTGCCAGATGTCTCTGTTGCCAAACCGGGACATTTAAGGGTGGGAAAGGCGTCTCGCACCCTTCCCTTTCGTTTCGACAAAAATTACGTACGAAAGGATGTAGTAAAATTTTATTTTGACAAACAAAAAAAAAAGCATAAAAACATGAGATCATGAGATCATTACAACGTACACCAGCAAATCAAAACAATTTATCACAACTAAAGCACAGAAAATGTTTCACAATGCATGTACCTTTTTTGTTCCTTATAAAAATACAGTTTATACTAAATACATCAGAAAACATAAAAATAAAGTTTCTAAACTTTGTGCAAAACTCGGGAAAATTTGCAACTTTCTATTCAGACTTTTTAATAAAAATTTTGAAAATGAAGTTTTGCGGCCCATAAAAACTTAGTTGATTTTTGGATTGTTTTTTACTGACAGTTTCTTCCATACAAGCTACTTATGTTCGACATTTTTTTGTATGTGGAAGACACTGTCAACAAAAAATAAATAATTGCAAAAATCAACGAAATTTTCTGGTAACTTCAGACTTCCACTTTACTAATTGGCTCAAAAGCTACATTTTCAAAACTTTTCTAAAAGATCTGATTAGAAATTGTGATTTGATGAAAGAGTCTCCGAGCCAATAATTTTGTACGGCACGGTACTTATAAGAAATCTAGGTTTCACGAAAGAAAAAAAATTAAATATAAGGTAACATTAAAATATCAGTCATTTGTTTCGTTGCTGTGAACTTGTTTCAAAACTTTTGCTTGATATAATTGTAAAACTCTGTGCATGTCATTTTAATGTATTTAGGTACATACTTATATTAATCATCAACTATTGCTTGTGCAAAACGTGCTAAATTTAAAAAAAAATCGCATATGAAAGGGCACCAACCCAACTCGTAATAAATTTAAGTATACAAATTTCAGTATTTAATATAGAAATATTCAATTCAAATACGCCAATATTAAAATGAAGTGATTTGGACTTAACGGATGCTTTTTCATAATTAGGTTAAAAAAAAATATTTAAATTCTATGCTGCCTGTAATGGGATTTGAACCCTGACGCTCTGGAAATTAACAAATTGTGGCAAGCATCTTCGTGCACTCAGCAACAGCCAGACATGTAAATGTGCGTTCAAATTTTCAGTTTGATTCAACACCACGTGTTCGTCGTATGAAAGTATTGTTTTAAAATACGAACATTTTAAAACGACAATCAAATCATAAAATTCATAAAATTTTTCTTAATATGTATTACAATGCGTTGTTTCTCTCAGTGTAGTAATTTTCATTCAAAATTTGTGAAATCAAATCGAAAACCGGTACACTTAAACGAATCCCGGGACATTTTAAGGCTGGACCGGGACACCGGGACAAATAGTCTAAAATCGGGACATGTCCGGGAAAACCGGGACGTTTGGCAGCCCTACTAATGTCGCATATGAACTGGAATGCTACCAGCAACGTTTTTAGCGGCGTTTAAAATTTTGTACCTTACGGATTGGTCAAATTCGAACCACAGACTGTGTGTAAAAACTTACATAAACTCAAGCAGAAAAACTTTCTTGCATGAAATTGTTAAAATAAATGTAATAATAATATAATATGTTTATCTTACCTCAATATTAACTGAAGATTGTGGAGACAAACGATTAACAAATTTGATGAATTTGTTTTCGTATAATAATTTTATGCGCTGCTCTTAAATGATTTGTACTGTTGTACTGTCATTAAAATTCATTTCGCTACCACAATTTTCACATTTCACTTCAGTTTTATTATAATTTTTTTTTAATACGATCAAACAGCACTCCGCGAGCTTGTTGGAAGATCAGTTTTTATTGGCAAATAAATTTAAAAAAAGTCGAGAGTCGAAAGTCGACTTCAGTCGACTTCCATAAACTTAAAGTCGATCACTAAAATTCGACTTTCAGGAGTAAAAAGTCGATTTTGGTCGAAAGTCGAAGTCGACTTTGCCATCCCTATGCCGAACAGCGCATATACGAAATTTCAGCGAATTTCTTGTCCGGCTACTACTTTTGGCCGCAGCTTATATGGGGGCATCCCACCGTGCGGCATTAGCTTGTAAATTAATTCTAGATACTGCATTTGATGCAGAAGAAAATTCGTTCTGAATCAAAATGTAACCAAAAAATGAATATGAGCCATTCTTTTTTAAGTCGGACGGATTTCGTAAAAAAATTATTTCATGTCTCCGATTCGCTTCGGATTTTTTTGTGGGTTCTATACATGAAATAAGCTAACACGTGTTCGAGCAATTGTTTTTTTCTTTTTTTCTTCGAAGATATGATCTGTCAAAGTTTGCATTTTTTCGTGATTCTGACTAATCATGTACTTCTTCAAATCGTTATATCTCGGGTTCTGCTGATCGGAGAGACTTCGTCTTAACGAAATTTTAAAGCTAAGAAACGGGGTTAAGATTTCTATATATAAGATGGTCAAGACTGTCCTAAAGCTAACTTAGCTATTAACAGTTGAACTTTTTGAAGTTAATTTGCATAGTGAAGACCAGTAAATTAGGGAGATAAAATTATACCATCTTATATATATATCTTAATCCTTGTTTAATTCTCTATAAAAAACGTTCGCAAAAACGAGGTTTTTCAAGAACTATTTTTAAAATATTTTTCTTTATGACGAGATGGTTTATTTTGTGAGAACCAACAATTTTTGTCCACACTTGTACGTTACGTTTTTTTCAACTTTATACCTAGCTTAATTATAAGTAATATACATACTTCTTATGCTGGTGTCATTTCAAATATATAATTGAAAAATTTACAGAAATAATATACAAATATAAACACTTGTGATACTTATATCTAAAGGAACAAGTTTTTATTTGAAACACCTGTGATTAGATATAAAATATATAGCAAAAAACTGGTCTGAATCCAATAATGCTAAATTGGATCCGCCATTTTGAACTGCAAAAATCTGACATCAGATTCGAAATCAGAGACCTCGAAACACCTCCATTTATAAGAGTTCGTGGTGGAAAGAAAAGAATTATAAAATATGGTCTTCATATTGTATCAGCCATTTTTTATTCCAAAAATTTGGCATCGGATTCGAAATCAGTGAAACCCCAAACACCAAGTTTAAAATCAATTTGGTAACTTCTCGTCTTTTCGCCAGCAAATAGCAGTCGCCAGAGCATAGTGCCATCCCACGCAAAATCTTTTAAAATTTAAAAGGAATACCAGTTTAATAATTATATCGTCACCTGAAATGCAAAAGAGACGTAACAAACATCGTCGCTAAAATACAAAAAGTCGTGACAATCTTTCTTCATTGCCGTATTACGCTGCGATTACATTGGATGCGAATTCGTACGAACTCAGTCGTACAAATTCGTGTGAATTTTTTTGCTGCCAA